GAGGAGGCTTGGATGGGAGAGGAGGAAATGTTTCCCTAAAGCTGCAGGAAAACAGGGAAAACTCAGAGGAACTTCCCTGAATCTGCTTCTTCCACAGTGACCCATCCAAGTATGTTCAAAGGTATTTTAAAAATGTTCTGCTGCACTTTAATCCTTCAACATGTCTTTTATGGTGAATAAATACTTCAAATGATTTTGTTAATACACAACATTAAGTACTGGACAGTGACAGTTCCTACATGTACTGTTCAGTGCAGATATTAAAACTTAATGTAAAGTCACGTTGCATTAGTTGCAATAAACCTAATTTCTAATCTTTTCTCTAATTCATGTAGTTATCTGTATCTGAAAGACCGTTAGGTGTGGGATTTAACTGGCCAAATTCAAAGTTTAATAGGTAAACATTAAATCTCCTCTTAGTTTCCCTCCCTAGCAGGAACGAAAGACCATGATTCTTAAAATAAACGTGGGAAATGGCTTGGGTGAGCTACGTTGCATAAAGATATAACGCTGCATAGAGGAAATGTAGCGTGACTCTGACAATATTTAACTTCAAGATGTCTGGATTTACAGTGGCTGAAGCCCACCCAGGCTATGGATCATGTCACTCCCATACGTCAGATTTCAGTTTATATACTATTTTCATGGGTTTTTTATTTGCAACTCCTCCTTTCTGTTTCTACCTCTATTATAAGAGGGAAATTAATAGGCCAAAAATACCCTTAGATGCAGCAATACACAACACGGCTGCACGGCTGATGCCAGGGAGATGAAGAATTTGGTGATTTCAAAGGTTTATACCCAACTGCCGGATAACTATTTGTGTAACTGCTTTCTACAAACTGTTCTTCCTTCTTTGCCATTCCAAAAGAGGTTTCTTTTGGAAATAACCGGAGTGCACGTTTTTATTTGTCTTTTCAAGACAGAGGGGGATGTTTTGAGTTGTACCTGGAAGATTGGTATTGAAGTGGGAAGAAATGTGAATCGGTGGTGAAAGTGTTGGGACAGAAACTCCCCGAATATAAACCCTGCTGTTAAAATATTGCTATTTGTAGAGCTACACACAACAAAACACTTGTCAGGGTCAGCACAGCTGCCTGCGTTGCTCTTTATCGATATGTGGGTTTGCTGGTGCAGGTGCTGCTCTGCTGCTGGTTGTGCTGGCTCTGGTCTCTGGTGCCATGGAAGGTCTCCTGCTGGGCTCCAGCTGCTCCTCCAGAAGGTCATGGGTTCCTGGAAGTCCTGTAGCTCCTGCCAGAGCCATCCCTTTGGCCAACTGCATCACACCGCTGGAGTTCAGACTGGAAGAGAAGCTGGGACACCTATGGCTCGTGTAGGTCCAAATGTCACGTTGACCCAGAGCAAGGTGAGCCCTAAACACGTCCCAGGTGTCCATCCCTCAGCCAGTCCTCTAGGCTCTCGGTAATACTGATGGAGGACTTGTCTGTTCAGGTGACCATGTGTGGGTCTGCTCTGGACATGGTGAATCCTCCTCTGGGCTGCACAGTCTATTGATCCGTCTCATTCCACCTGAGATGTCATAGGATGTATGGACACAGGTCTGGCAGATATGGCACAAAATGTAGGGACACTTGTGCCCTTTAGGGGGGCAGGAGAGATGTATGGTGGGTCTCATAGTTCTGGACACCCATATCTGAACAGCTGAACCACCGCCTTCATGTCTACTGACGGAAAAGACAGCCTAGGCAGCTGGATCATATGTCTACACTTAATGTTGCTGACAACTGAATAAATTAATAAATCCTCTCTATGGATCAAATATGCAAATAGGAATGGCCATTTGTACGGTGACTCTATCCATGCTGTCAGTTTAACCTAAAAGCAGGGGCTGCTATTATCTAAAGGGGGAAATCAGCTATGCTGCAAGAAATAGTGTGAATTGTAAAACTCCTGAGAACTCTGCAGACACCGAAAGCAGCTGGTATCTATTGAGTGTGGTGCGCAGGGATGAATTACGGTGGAATGGCCGTGAATTTGCCACGAATATCCTGCTAGCCAAAAACAATGTAGTTTGCAGAGAACTGGATTGGCACCACCTCTTTTTGAAAAGGGGCTGTGGTGAGGTGGAGCAGCAGGATGACCTGGTGCTCTGCAAAAGGGGGGGGAAAAGGGGCAGCTGAGGTACTCCTGTTAATGTGGAACACAGGAAAAAAGGTTTAATGGGCTCCGTATCAATCATGCTGTGACAGGGGGGTCCTGTATAGACCTCCCTGCTCCTAACCATCAGTGGCCTGGAAGCCTTTCGGGCTCATTCATCGTCTGGAGGCTTGGGTCAGCCTTCATGTGGCGTAACCCCAGCCATCTGCCCCAGGCGTCTGTCCAGAGCTAATTAGGACAGCCTAAGCTGTTTGCAATAGGTGTTTAAGAGACTTGGAGTAAACTGCCCTTTGGATGCACCTTCTCACCTCCTCCTTGATTTTCAGAGCGGCTTGTGAAGAATAACTTGAGCTCGTTTGGATCTCTACCTTTGCTGTCCCTGGAGGCTGCCGAGTGTTGTAACAGGTTATTGATATTTGTGATGATAATTAGCACAGGATTTTGCACCCTCCTGCATACATGGCTAAACCTTTATTAGCAGTTTAGGCTGTTGTGACTCGTGGATTCTCATTAAGGAGCCAGCAGTAGCCAAAGACATGGCAAGCGCTTGCTCCCTGAGGAGGGGTGCCCGTTGCCCACAAAGACCTGCAGAGAGACGCATAAAAGCAACACGTTGCTGTAAGTGATGAACTTCATCTGATGGAAATAGGCACGAGGTGCTCAAATGCTCAGTAGGAAAATCCTCCTTTCTCTGGCAGCTAGGAGGATGGCTTCAAGGGTTAGTCCCCCAGACTTACCGTGCAGGCATCCTGAGCCCGTCGTGTCATCCAAAATGGAAGAGACCTTGGAGCTGGTAAGCGAAGGTGAGCCTGATCCACAGGTAGGTGTGACCATTCCCTGAAAGGTCCAGGTGAGCTCTGCTGCGACGGCCCTGTTCTGCTATAAATCACTGCAGCGGTATTACTTTTGGGGAGGCTGCTCTGATTTACACCAGGTGAAGGTTTGCTCCTCTAGGTTGGTTAAAGAAGATGAAATATTTCTGCTGGGGTGCACTCCGGTATTTTGAACGCAAAAGATGAGGAACCGTGGTGCTTATGGTATACTTAAGGAGCCTTGGAGAAGAGAGGGGAACACTCTCAAGGAAAGGTTAACCTACCCATCAAGCCCGAAATAAAGTGATATTCACTTTAAAGAATATTCCTATAAAGAAATATTCTTCTGATTGAGAACGGTTCTTCAACGAGTCTTCTGATCCTGGCTCTCATCTGGTGGGGTAAGACTTTGATTCTCATCTTTAATCCTTAACTGTTTTATTCTGAACCTTCACATAATCAGGGACAGAAACCTGTATTTCGCACTTTCATTAGGGCAAACACCTATTTTCATATGGGCGAGCACCTTTAGGTGCCTTAACTAGGTGCCTAAACGTAGGCAACTGGAGTTGAACGAGTTTGACTCGGCACAGCACCATGGTCTCATCCGTGGGGTCGGTGCCTCTCCCAGCTGAAGGGAGAGGCAGGAGCTGCTGGAGTTTCACCTGCTGAAAACGGGGCGAGAGAAGTCCTGGAGTGCCCCGACCCGCAGGGTGCTGTGCTGTGCTGTGCCGCCGTCCGGCTCCCTCTGAGAAGGTTTTCCTCCTCGGATGGCATCTTAAAACAGCTATTTCTCAGTCTGGCTTTTTTTTCCTCCACCCCCCCCCTTCATGCCTTCTGCCCGTGCTCTCAGCTGTGCCTTCACCTGGAGCAAGGTGCAGTCGGCGTTGGCCGCCGCTGTTCACGCGCGCTGGGGAGAGCATCGGGTGTGGCTTTGTGTTCCAGGACAGCATCGTGGGTCCCACTTTGGTCTGGGCTTAGTCAGTGCGTTACAGCTGGTTCATACTCACAAACACTCACAGCTCTCTCCTGGCACCGAAATCAGGCTCAGTAAATCAGGTTTCACCTCCCAGTCCGCTTCGGGAAGTACAAGGCACGGTGAAAGTCATGGGCACGTTATGGTGGCTCGTGGTGCCTGTGGTGGGCTACTGCAGCACGGTGAGGGCAGCCGTAAACTTCACACCGCAGCCAGGACCTTTGCTCTGAACGTCACGAGGAAATGAAGCTAGATTTTATGGTGTTCAGTCTCTTAATTGTATATTGTCTAAACTGTACTGAGGAAATGTTATTTTTGAACTGGGGCGAGCTTCAAACAGCTTTGGACCCAGATTTCTGCCATGGTCTCTCTGACTTATCCCCCCAAGGTTTCTGAGACTCGTATTAAACTCCTCAATGAGTTTTAGGAGCGTGCAAGACTCCCTTCCTCTCTTCCTCCTTGCAGCCCAACAAATTAGAGACGCTTTTCTTTACCACAGTGTCTTTTCCAAAAGCAGTGAAAGAAAGCAACAACATTTTTCCTTTTACTCCAAACCACTACAATTATAAGCAGAGCTCTCTTCTTCTGGACACCTTACCACGATGGGTTTGAAACGGGGAGGAAGGGAAACAAATGTAGAGCAAGACTTAATCACGGGAGGTCGAGGGCAGAGCTGATGGTTCGGTCTGTGTCACTAGAATCCCTGCCTGCTGCTTTGATACCACCAAACTGTAGGTACCCAACTGGGACGCTGAGGTACAGATGAGCCTGCCTGAAGGTCTGCCCATAGTCAGGAGAGCAAGAGACCCTCCGCAGTGACTCGCTGCAGGTGGGGAAGGCGTTTTGGAAAGCTGGGATGCCCTCCCTTCAGAAGGGACCTCCTCTTGGACTGTAAAGGAGGATGAGCTCGGAGCGGATGGCTGCGGTGCAGCCCGTCCCCCTCCAGCTCCCTAGGAACGACCGGCCCGGGTGCCCCGGCCGCACAGGCTGTAACCGATCAGGTTGTACCGTTCCAGTTCAAACGGGTAACGGCACGGTTTCCACTGTCCTGTGCTTTCAGGCTCCCTCCTTCCTCGGTAGACGCAAAGCCCTGAATGGCAGAGCAGAATCACACCTGGGCAGCAGAGTTCATTCTTGAGGGCCTGAGTGACCAAGCGGGGATGAAGGCAGCCCTCTTCGTGCTGCTGCTGCTCATCTACACTGTCACCCTTTTGGGCAACACGGGGATAATCGTAGTCATCCGAGGTGACCCACGGCTCCACACATCCATGTACTTCTTCCTTGGCAGCCTCTCCATTGTTGACATCTGCTTCTCCTCTGTGATTGCCCCCAGGACCTTGGCGAACTTCCTATCAGAGAGGAAGACTATTTCCTTCTCTGGCTGCATGGGCCAAGCCTTCTTCTACATCGTCTTTGTGACGACCGAGTGTTTCCTGCTGGCCGTCATGGCGTACGACCGGTACGTGGCCATCTGTAACCCCCTGCTCTATTCCTCTGTTATGACTCGGAGGTTGTGCATGTGGCTGGTGGTGGGGTCCTACATCGGGGGTGTCCTGAACTCCATCATACAGATGACCTTCATCATCAGGCTGCCCTTCTGCCGCTCCAATGTCATCAACCACTTCTTCTGCGATGTTCCTCCCCTCCTGGCTCTGTCCTGTGCCAGCACCTACATCAATGAGATGATCCTCTTCTCCTTGGCCGGCCTCATTGAGCTCAGCACCATCTCCACCATCCTAGTCTCCTACATCTTCATCTCCTCTGCCATCCTCAGGATCCGTTCAGCTGAAGGCAGGCAAAAAGCCTTCTCCACCTGTGCGTCCCACCTGACGGTGGTGACCGTGTTGTATGGGACAACAATCTTTATGTATTTACGCCCCAGCTCTAGTCACACCCTGAACAATGACAAAGTGGTCTCTGTCTTCTACACGGTGGTGATCCCCATGCTCAACCCCCTCATCTACAGCCTGAGGAACCAGGAGGTGAAGGATGCTCTGAGGAGAACAGCAGAAAGAATCACAGCCAGGCTCTGAGCCCTCCTCCATAAAACCTGATACGGGATCTCTCCACCTACAGAGATGTTAAAAAGTTGCCTGGATGAGGCTGTGAGCCACCTGATGTGGCTGTGAAGTCAGCCCTGCTGACACAGAATAATTCTTGTTCAGAACGGACATTTAGGAAGTCTCTGGTCCTATGAAGGGCAAGTTATACACCTATATACATATATGTATATATAAAAATACAATATTAAATGTATACGATACTATATATAATGCAGTATATTATTGTGTTAAATGTGTGTATGCCAACACACTTGTCACTCCCTAGCCTCAATTTAGCTGTAATACCCGCTCAGTAAATGAAGGGACGGGGGACGTGCTGTTGTTGGTTTCAGTAGAAAAATGTCTATACCAGAGAAATGCCAAATAATTTAAGGGGCGGTGCTGGGCGCTCAGTGATTTATGGGCTGGGTATGGGAGGCAGCTCCTGTGAAAAGCTCTTCCTAGGAAGAATGGAAACACAAGATCTAAATGGATAAACTTTGAAGTTTTAATGCAGTGAGGGGGTAATGGGACATAGTGAATAAGCCAAGTGGATGAAATATAAATTCTCAAATAGGTTGGTCTTTGAAACCCAGCTTCTGAGTTAAATAGCGGGGTTAAATTGATCTTTTTCACGTCTTTTTAGGCAACAATCCACCCCAATTTCTGCCTTTCAAAGCCTTGAAACAAAGCTCCAATTAGTTTTCTAATTTATGCCCACAGCGGTTTGTTAAAAACAAAGACGACAATATTGTCAGGAGTTTGCATCCAGAGATTTGCAAAAATTTAAAAAACAAACCAGAAACAAACAAAACAAAAAATCCCACTCAAACACACTATAACAAAAAAAATTTGAATGTAATAACCGCCCCCCACCACCAAAACAGTCTTTATTTTTTATGCCAGAAGCAACTCCTGCCAGAAATGGCAGCGCCCACCTTTCACCATCTCCGAAGAGAAACTCGTGGTTGCTGTGAAAATGCAATGCGG